AAAGTTTATTACATACAATTGCATATAATGTGCATGCAATTGCTACTACTACTACTACTACTATGCATACTACTGTGGATGAAATTACGTATTTAGAGTTCATTACATGCAATTGCATATAATGCATTTGGTTTAGCAAACTAGGATAGATGTAGACGTCTATGGGCCACAGCAACCACTTACCATTAGGTGAACTCTGTGCTCGCTTGTCACCCTTTACCTATAAAAAAAATAGTACACCACTGAATTTGGGCCTCTCTAATAATAGTAGGATGTTCTGTAAGCTAGAAGCGAGTTTCTCCTACAGTATACATGGCCGCACCTATCAGACGAATTAAAAGAGTATCTGGGCGGCGTTTAGTGCATACAAATTATACTCAACCAAATCTAAGAAATACCTTTTGACGTTTTAATTATTCATTCCGCAATAACTTTGTACAAGCGTACTTACACGATTTAAAATAACCTTTTTACATAAATCCAAAGAATTTTGAAGTAATATATATTTCATTACAACATAATTATATAGTTCTTTATCACTAACTTAAGTTCGAATCTAACGTCGTTCCTATATCATTTTTTAAGTTATTGAAGGATTATGAAAGTGAATTTATTTCATTTTTTTTTAGATAAGTACTTATAGCAAAAAAGAATTAAGGGAAAACTATAGACATCCGGTACTCGCGTACGGAGGTGGGATGGGGAACTCCCTTGCGGAAATGTAGTTTATGAGTAATATTATTTTTTTTTGTAAAATCATATTGACACAAGTAAGGTTTCGGCGCTGCGGGAAGTGCAGCCCCCGCCCGTTGTAGCAAATCGCAGGCGCATGAGTGAGCCGAAGGCTACAGTGGGCGGGGGCTGCTCTCCCTCCGCGCCTACGGCTTTACATAAACACTCTAGGGGTAGGGCAGACAACACTACGTGGATTTGGGGTGTTCTGATTCAGTTTTAGTACAGATTCGACTTATCTATAAAGTCAGGTTTCCCTAAGCTCTCAATCAAAAAAGTCCAAAAACAGATCAGAAGTCGTCGAAAAAATAGGGAAAACACAGCACTAAGCACAAGAGAGAACATTCGCGTGACCACTAGAGAAACGGAATGACAATTGACATTTGACATCATAGATAAACTTAGGTTAATGATAAGTCATCGCGCACTCTGACTAGATACCGCGCTCCCTGCAAGTAACAGCTCCATGAATGCGGCATCTTAATATTGTAGTGTGTATAAGAAAAATTGTATATGCCAGCAGCTTAACTATTACCCGATTAACGGGAAATTTTATTTTATGCTATGGCTTAGTAGTTAAGTTCATAGTTATGAATGTATTCCAGAAATACTTAAAAGTGAATAGTTTATTAATAACGAATGTATCGATATATTTGTGTATGTTATGTATAGGTTTTACTTTTGAATAAATGACCTTTTCCTTTTTATCAGTTTATTTTTTTATTTACATGTCTAACTAATATTCACAAATTATTTTATATATATGGTGTAATCTAAATAGTGCTTTCTATTAAACGCGTCAATATCAACAACTTTTACTATGGATCTATCTTCCAAATCGTAAGAAAAATCAGGTCTTCCATACATTTTAAGCAAGTTTGTATGACATTTTGTATGGAATAACTGACTTTGAGATATTTTTTATAGGATCAGGGTGACAAACGAGCACTCAGTCCACCTGATGGTAAGTGGTTGCTGGGGCCCATAGACATATACATCTATCCTCGGTGAAGAATCAAAATGCAGATGCGTTGCAACCCCTGAGGACTAAGATGGAATGCCTCGTTTCCAGTAAAAAGGGTCTCCGGTTCTCTACACTCACCATAGGAAACACAGCAGCGTTAAGCTCCTATTCTACACTGGTATTGTGAGAGCGTGGTCCTTCCCCGGTCGGGCTGACCCATTCGTGCTACAACTATACCAGTAATATAGCTGCAGTATGGGTCTATCACGTATAAATTGATAATTTCGAAGATGATCCCATACTAAAAAACATTCATGTTAACGGGCAGAATCATTCCCTAAGTTATTAAGTACTATTTTGTTACACCTTTAGTTAGTATATAAGACCGGGGAAAAAGTTTCTTCGTATATTGTATATAAATTCAAGATGTTTTTGTTTTAAAGTTTTATTACATTTAATTATAATACATATGGGTCCATTCTGTTCGATATATCTTGTAGGTAGTGACATAATAAAAAAATAAGCGTTGCTGTAGAAATCTTGGGATTTTGATTAAAAAAATGCGACAAGTAGTTTTATTTGATATATTCAATACCAGGGATTTGAAGGAACATGGATTTAGTCATCCCATTTATAATGGAAAATAAATTATAAACTTAAATATTAAAACCTCCCGAAAGCTTTCTTTTAAAGAACACAAGCAACAAAAGAAAATAACGACTAAAACTGTTAAACCAGTTTTAAATACTCAAACATATTCTGGATTTTTAGGAATGTTAGTGGGTATTGAAAGTCTCAAACAGATAACGAATCTTGTGATCTGGCGTTATCATGATGAAAGACCACTCCTTTTCTGATTATCAATGCCAGCCGTTTTTTTTTTCTATTTCTTGCTTGTCTCATTATTTATTGATAGTAGAGATCCGAATCGATGGTTTTATCCGGCGGTAAAAGCCCATGATAAACTTTCAATCCCACCATACACACAGCATCATTTTATTGCGTGTTAATCCAGGTTTCGCTTTAGTCTGTAAACAAAACACATATCAATACAGAAAAAAATCACGGTTCTTGTATGGTCTATATATTTTACTTGTTTTCTTTTTTTATTTTATGTTGTTATAGCAGCAATATAAATACACATTCTGTGAAAATTCTACATATTACGGTTCATAAGATACAGCCTACTGACAGACAGACGGAACGATAGTGGAGACTTGGGTCCCGTTGATACTCTTTGGGTACGGAACCCTAATAAGCGGCAATTATGTCATTTGAGCAATACTACAGAAATAAACATTAAATAATATAGAATTAGGTTATATTATAATAAGTTAAATATATTATAAAATATAGTAACAATAAATTCACATATAAAAATCTCAGCCACGGGAAACTTTACTTTTTGCATTCGCGGCAACACTGAATAGCGTCATTGATATTTTATGGCTCGTGTTATTTTATGTTAAAATTTCGAAATTGTATGATACTTAATGATAGTATGTGATTCCAGTGTCTTTCTTATTTCTTGTAGTATTATTTTTACACAGTTTCAATACGTAAACTGGTATTTTACTTCGGATTATGATCAAAATTTAATAAAGATTCGGTACATTCACCTCACACGTTGCCTGCAACGCGACTGGCTCGGGTACGCCGATTTCGGCGTAGTATTTGTTACCGCATTTTACATGAGCGCCGGCGGTATATCTAGTCAGAGCGTGCGATGACATCATTAATCTATGTAGATAATATATTATTATGTGTTTACTTAAAAACACACAGCGTCGATATGAAGAATGTTTTGTGAATATACCTTTTATTCCCACGATGTTGGTAACTTGATCTATAGTACCTGCTTGTCACCGGAGAGGGCGCCACTTTCTTTACCATAAATGTTTTTGTGAAAGTATGGCACCACTGTAGAACTGTCAACTAGTCATAGCGTTTTGTGATTTTCCCGCGTGAATGCTAGAAAAAAATTCTCTTACTAAAAAAGTGAGCAAGTTAAGAGTTAAAGTGAGTAAATTACGGAATTTTACGTTTATAATTACTCGGAAGTAGATCCGAAGAAAAGTTTCATAGCGAGATGGAAAAAGTAGACGATTCTTTAATGGAAAATCAGAGTGAGGAGTCTCCGCATCAGAACTCGTCTTCTCGCGGAGAGAATCTGGATTTATCGTCGGATGGAGACAGCGGAGAATCAGACTCGGAGTCTGAAAGTGAGTCCTCACGTCCTCCAAATAAAAGAATTAAAACCAATGACGTAAATTCGGACCCGCGGTTCGAAGCACTAATACACCAAGTAAGTCACCTTACTAATTGTCTTCAATATTATTTGCCTATAAATACAGCATTGCCTTCTACATCAAATACATTATTGCCTTCTACGTCGAAGGCATGCCCTACTGACAGTTCCGAATTCTTAGTAAAGCCAAATTCAAATCAGCTCAATTTAGGTGAGGTCTTCACTGTTACTGACAATAACAAAGTAATAAAGAATGCATCGCAAAGTCGTTTGGAATCCTTAGTAAAATTACAACACTTTGGAACTGAGGAGTGGAAAGAGGTAAAATATTCTAAGGTCTTACAAAATTTTTTAGCCAAACCAGGTTTTATCGAACTAAAGATTAATGATGAATTGTGTCACCTGAATAAGGGAAAAGACTACTTAGCAAACACAGAAAAAACTTTGGCTGGTCTTACAAATGGCTTGTTAGAACACAAGGAAATTGTACGGAGCAATTTACAAGAGATTGTAAATTGGTCAAATAACTCGTCAAGTGATTTGACACCAGAAAATCTGTTTAATAAGATTATGACAGTGTTTGGACCTAACACTCAATATTATAAGAATATGGAACAAATTGTACAAGTTGTCTGTGGGAAGAGAACAGAGTGCATAGAAATAAGACGAGAACGCATTTTATCAGAGATCTCAAATAAAAACCTACAAGCTACTCTCAGAAAGCTGCCTCCAAGTGCAGAACACCTTTTCGAGCATAATAGTTTATTACCGGTGATACAATCTCTAGGAGGGACAAGTGTGTGGCTTAATATGCCAACTTATTTGAAAGAAAATAAAATACCTAAGAAACGACAATATGAACCTGCAACTGCAACTTCAATATATCACCAATCTTCACAGGGGAACCGTAGCACTGCATACCGTGGTAACAAAAAAAATAGTAATAAAAAATTTAAGAAAGAACAAAGAGGTAGTAACAGTTCCTTTCGCCCCAAAGAAAAAAAATGACTATCGACAGGTATTCAAAGGGGGCTGCTTGAAGAATCATTTGCAAGCATGGGAGGCACTGGGAGCAACCGACTTTATAATGAAAATAATTTCTGGAGCTCGTATCCCTTTCTCAAACAAACCCCCTCTAAATTACCCATCAGCTACTATAAAAAGACTATACAAGACCAAAGAGTCACAGGAAATGACAAAAATAATTATAGACTTAAAGAAACAACAAGTGTTGGAGAGACCAAAGTCTCCAAGTCCAAGCTTCCTTTCGAAGATGTTTATAATACCAAAGAACGATGGATCCTTCCGACCAGTCTTCGACCTGCGAGGACTCAACAGGTATGTCCATACCAAACATTTCCAACTGATATCCCATGCCTCAATACCAGAATTCCTTCAAAAGGGGGACTGGATGGTGAAAATAGACATATCCAATGCCTATTTCCACATACCAATTGCAGAATCCCATCGTTGCTATCTCCGGATGATATACAACAACGAACTATTACAAATGAATTCGCTTCCTTTTGGCCTGGCATCTGCTCCTCGCACTTTTGCAGCGGTTACAAACTGGATCGCGGAGATCCTGCGAAACAAGGAAATTCGGGTTCTAGTCTATCTAGACGATTTCCTATTGGTTCACCAGGACCAAGCCAAGCTGGTCTCTCAGACTGCGGAAGTCGTGAGACTCTTGGAGTCTATGGGTTGGCAAATAAATTACCTAAAGTCTGTGCTGAAGCCAATGCAACAATTAGAGTATTTAGGAATAACTTGGAACACCAAGACAGACACAATGTATCTCTCGGAGAGAAAAATAAAAAATATAAAAACAGCAATTACAAAATTATTAAGCAAAAAGGCATGCAATCTAAAACAGGTGCAAAAAATTCTAGGACAACTAAACTTCGCCAGTTTTGTCATAAGAAGGGGTCGCCTGCACTGCCGCTACATTCAAATACTGCTAAAACGCTTCAAGCAAAATTTGAAAAACAAAAGAGTCCTGCCACCACAAGTACGACAGGACCTCAGGTGGTGGAGTCAGTCATTAGTGGGCAAGGCAGTTCTACATCAGCGACCATATACCCACTTCCTCACAACCGATGCGGCAGATACCGGTTGGGGGGCCCAGTTGAACGAGAAGATGATGTCAGGAGTCTGGACAAAAGATCAGATGAAATGGCACTCGAATTGGAAAGAGCTGTTCGCAGTATATGCGTCAATCCAGAAACAATCACACTGCCTACAGAATGCTCACATTCTAGTCCAGTCGGACAATCGAACCCTTGTGGCGTATATTCGGAACGACGGGGGGACCCACTCAATGAGTTTACTCAATCTGACGTGCAAGTTGTTGAGGCTGACCGACAGGAAAAACATTCTCCTATCAGCACACTACCTCCCGGGGAGGTACAACTGCACAGCCGATCACCTCTCACGGGGACGGCGACTGTCAGAATGGCATCTGCTGCCCGCTGTAACAAACCAATTGTTCCATCGTTGGGGAATCCCAGATGTCGATCTATTCGCGTCTGCAGAAACCGCCGTAGTCAGCAGATACGTCTCCTTAGACTGGAAAGACAATTTGGCAATATTCCCAAATGCCTTCAGTCAGGACTGGAATTTTCGGCTCGGGTGGATATTTCCTCCTCCCAGCTTGATCCCTCGAGTATTAGCTCAATTGAACCGTGCCAAGGGTCATTACATATTAATAGCTCCTCTATGGGAAAAGACCTTTTGGCTAGCAGATTTAAAAAATCGGGCACTGGAACCACCAGTGACAATAGAGAAAATTTCGGAGAATTTGATAGACACCGCAACGGGTCTTCCTCCACCACAAGCAGACCAACTGAACCTTCAGGCCTGGTTAGTTGGAGGTGGGCAAAATCAATTAGTAGATGGTCAGAATCAGAAAAACAATTATTAAATTCTAGTTGGAGACCGTCAACATTAAGTACTTACTATCCAGCTATTAAACGATGGATAAAATGGTGTGACTTAAATAATGTTTCTTGCAATCTTCCACAACCACATCAAATAGCAAGGTTTCTAGCCCACTTACACTTAGAAGAAAAATTAGCTTATAGCACCATTTTAGTGCATAAATCAGCAATATATAGTTTTTGTAAAATTGATCAAAATCAAGCTCAAGATAATTCATTGGTGCATCAAATTCTGAAAGCTATTGCCATGGCACAACCACCTAAAAGCAAAGCTCCTATATGGGATGTACAAATTGTTTTTGATTGGCTAGCAACGTCCAGCATTAAAAACACCATATTCGAAGTGTCTAGACGAACAGCAGCAATTCTTCTTCTAGCATCTGGTAGAAGAGTTCATGATCTCACATTGCTTAAAATATCAGAAGCAAATTTAAGATTCATTGATAACAAGGTAACCTTATGGCCAATATTTGGATCAAAGACAGACTCAGCGTGTCATAGGCAATCTGGATGGTCATTACTTAAGCATCCGAATCAGAAAGTATGCCCAGTATTATGGATAAGACGTTTAATTGACATAACCCAAGAGCGACGAAATGAACAAGAAGGATTGAATCATTTATTTATTACGATTATTGGTAAACCACGTCCAGCCTCGAGAACAGTGATTGGTGGCTGGATTAAAACAGTATTAAAGGATGCAGGGATTACAGCATCCCCAGGATCATTTAGATCAGCAGTGGCCTCTGCAAGTTGGGTAGAAGATCATCCAGTGGATGAAATACTGGCAAGAGGAAACTGGAAAAGTGAGAATACTTTCAGAAAATTCTATTGTAAAGAGGTAGAAAAGAAATGTAAAAGGTCTGAATTACTTTTCAATAATTTTCAACCAGAGTAAATTGTTTAATTATAAAAATATAAATGTGTTGATTTATTTGAGAATTTATATAATTTACTGTTAAATAAATAATAGAAGTTTTCTTATTCTAATGTTACACAATTGTCTTGAATTATAGTTTATTACAATTTGTTGATTAATTAATAAACATTATTTCTTATCACATAGCGTTTTGTGTTTGTCACCAGAAGATATCAAACAGGTCTTCATATCGACGCTGTGTGTTTTTAAGTAAACACATAATATAATATTTTGAATTACAACAAAATAGTTATTATGTGTTGAAAGAAAAACACACAGCGTCGCAGGAATATCTTCCTGTTGAAGACACTATGACTAGTTGACAGTTCTACAGTGGTGCCATACTTTCACAAAAACATTTATGGTAAAGAAAGTGGCGCCCTCTCCGGTGACAAGCAGGTACTATAGATCAAGTTACCAACATCGTGGGAATAAAAGGTATATTCACAAAACATTCTTCATATCGACGCTGTGTGTTTTTCTTTCAACACATAATAACTATTTTGTTGTAATTCAAAATATTATATTATATTTGACATTTACGCCAAAACATGGCCGTCAACACCGTCCCGTTTCACATTTTTTACATCGGTTTTTGTACATCTGAATTCATAACAGTATACAAAATTGTCATATTTGCGTTTCGTTATACGGAATTTTTAGTGAAATTTATTTTTATCATATTTAATTCAAAACGCATTTCAAAATCACTCGATCAAGTCAACTTTCGAATAAAACAAAACTAAATCTAGATAGATTCATTCGTTTGGGAACTTCAATGTCACAAACAGACACATATACACAGATGCACACGTTAAAACATATAACGACATACATAACATATAACACCTCTCTGTTAGCGTCAGGGGTTTAAAAAAGAAACAAATTTTAATTATAAAATGTTTATTATTCAATAATTGAATTTTAGTTCAATTATTTGATCTGACCTATTCTTTCTCTTTGCTTTTTGGCTACTCTAAAAAGGATTCTGCAATCTCTGAATTGTAACATTGACACATAAATGATAATTCAGTCATGATTATTATTGCCTTCAAATATTATCCATTGCATCGTAACATTGTTTGCACAAAAACTATTTATCATTGACAGTGAACTTGAAACACAGTAAGGGACACTTGTGTACAGTTTACCCCATTTCTTCTTTATTTAATTCCCTTAAATAACTTCGATAGGGTATCACAATATGCTTCTGCATTTACTGTTTCACAATAATGATGGGATGCTAGTGGTCCCTGTTGACATAACATTTAGTAACAATGAGTATGAAAATAAAAAGGAAAACATTGATTTCTCCTGTAAAATGTAATAAATGTAAAAAAATATACAATTCCCCGCCCTGCCCAGCAATAAGAAATTGTATTTACCGGGCGGACTGTGGTTTCCTTTATGACTTCAGTTTTATAAATCAAACATGAACATTATAATTATACAACTATTATATTTCAAGATGTAGTGCTGTATGCCTTTTCGCTGTTTTGACATCTTGATCCGTCTCACTGCACTATCATACTATTCATATGAACGTACACCTCATCTAATGAATATGTTTGTGTTCATGTTATATACTGATATTTAAATGACAAACTTCTAACAAAAAAGAATGTGCCAACTGTATAATTTGCCTAGCATGTCGTATATGTGTACTAATAAAGTCTCATATTTTTCCGCTGCTCTTTGGACTCTGCCTACTCACTCGTGGGTAAAACATATGACACTATGTACATATGTGTGTACTACTATGGGAAAGGGTTGTAAGAGTTAGGATGTGGAGGACATGGCAGTATCCATCTTGTATATGTTTGAAGTAAAATAGCTAGACCAGTAATGGGTTCAATTGTGTTCATAAGGAAGAATGCAAAAATAAATGCATCTGCATTTTGATTCTTTATTGAGGGTAGATGTAGATGTATATGGGTCACAGCAACCACTTACCATCAGGTGGACTGTGTGCTCGTTTGTCACCCTATACTATAAAAATAAAATAAAAAAGAAAACCTTATATTCTTTCGTAAATGCCAGTATCCTTTAACAGTGTAGCAAACAACCTCTGCTTATCTTTCTCAAAGTTACCAATTATTACGCTTTCAAAATGAAAGTTTGCAACTACTACTTATAAAATAAAATGTCAATCTACTCAGCAATAGTTTTATACATATTTTTTTAATATTTTATAAATTATATAGGTGTAAGAACATCTTACCTACCTACTATAGATATACTACCATGTATAGTCACGTTAGTGTCGTAAGAAGCGACAAAGCGAATCAAACTAGGTGACGCGCAGCAGCATCGTCCATAAAATAACCAAAAAAATAAAACACTGCAGTTGCCAACAACTGTACATTTGATGAGCTGTAATGGAGTATGGTATGGTCTTTAGCCAAGTGGCAGCAGTGCAAGAGAATTCACATCTCTATTCCTCGCATATATTGTAAGAGGTTACTACAGGAAATTTCACAAAGATTTTATGCCTTCCGATAGTAGTAAGTACAACTAGGGCGAGAGGGAGCATCAAAGTAGATACATCTGGTACTGCAATCATCAATCAATGTGCCAAGTTAGAAGATTAGGGCAAATACCCTACTATAGTAAATAAAGTCTAGCAGTGGCTTTTGAATAAAGATTATTTAACTCACAGCACTTATCGTCATTTTGTCTCTATATTACCCAAAGATAAACTGATAAAAAACGACTTGTGGATGAATTCCATCAAATTTTAATGGTTTAATAGTTCAAATATATAAATAATGAAATACCGTTATTGCAGTTTCTTAAAATGCAAGTAAATAAGGTTTCCACTTTTGTTTTATATCATCCCAAATTGAATGCAATATATGGGCAACAACTACGCGTAGGCGCCCACCATACATCATATGTGGTAGAGTCATGCTGCAGCTATATTAGTAGTATACTTGTAGCACGAATGCGTCAGCTCGACTGGGGAAGGACCACGCTCTCACAGAATACCAGCTTAAAATAGCAGCTTAACACTGCTGTGTTTCGTGTGGTGAGTGTAGAGAACCGGAGACCCTTTTTACTGGAAAAGAGGTATTCTATCTTAGTCCTCATGGGTGACAATGCATCTGCATTTTGATTCGCAAGCGAGGATATATGTAGATGTCTATGGGCCACAGCAACCACTTACCATCAGGTGGACTGTGTGCTGGTTTGTCTCACTATCCTATAAAAAAAAACTTCTATGTGCGGTGCGATTCAAATCACAACGTTTTTACCAACTTTTTTTTTAGTAAAATAGTAGATATTCGATATTTATGATTGACAATCAGTTAAAATAATGTATTACCATGCATTCTGAATTTATAAGATAAAATAGGACAGAATGTTTGAGATTTTTTTTTAATTAATTTTTCTTCACCATTCGCCTATATTACTTAATCTGAACCTTCACTGCAAATTTGGCCATATATTGCAAAATAACCCAATATTATATACAATTTTGTGTATAATATGAAGTTTAAATAGATCTATAATGTCACAGGCTTACCAGAATTAATTTCAGTAGATTACTAGCTGGTGTCTTTAGTAATAAAGTCATCTTCACTGTTTGATAGATAACAGGGATCTTCAGAGTCCCAGTCTAGACTGATATTATCCAACTGCATGTTTGAGTTATACTTGAAATTGGTGTCATCTAAATCGTCCCTGTGTTTTTGTACCTGAGACAAATTAAATTTATCAATCACTCGTATTTTGTATCAGTACATGGCACCAGATACTTGGTAGCCGAAATAGGCAAGGGTATACCTAGCCAAGCAGTCTGCTTGGGCCTACCCAGTGTATACCTATATACCCTTGCTTCTTAGCAAAAAAAGAGTCTTACCATCTAGTTTAAAAAAATATTACATTACATCTATTACTATTCAAAGGAGACGGAGACGTCTCCATACATTCTTGGGCCCAGATGTTAACAACATGAAAGTAGGACCATTTGAAAGCTAATATATGAACAAGTCATAGCTAAAAATTTGGCAAGATTTGTCAATATAGGAGCTGAGTTATTGTAGAATAAGTAAAAGTGAGGTTATGTATTACCTACAATGTAACAGGTGATTTTTCACTGTAATTACACTGTAACAGTTCTATTATTACTTATAGATATAAAAGCAGGATCAGAATAAAATTACTAAAAAAAATCTGTGGTTATTATGGAAATGAAATGGTGAAACGATTAACGAAAATTAAAACAACAACAAATAAGTGAAGTGTATTAGGCATATCAATCTGAGATTGAATACTTGAATTGTTGTTGTTACTGTTATTTGTTGGCATGTTGATATTTTGTATTTTTATAATTATTCTGTACATATGTTTTCAATTATTTTACCTACTTGGGAACACAGAAAAATAATCGAAAATAGATATTAAAATGCACAACTTAAGTTAGAATTGATTACATTGCGCTCATTTCAAATCAAATGGAAAATTGGTATGTTTCTTATAATTGTAGCTCGCAGAATACCAGTGTAAAATAGCAGCTTAACGCTGCTGTGTTTCGTTTGGTGAGTGTAGAGAACCGGAGACCCTATTTTCTGGAAACGAGGTATTCCATCTTAGTCCTCACGAGTGACAACGCATCTGCATTTTGATTTATATTTGAGCATAGATGTAGTCTATGGGCCACAGCAACCACTTACCATCAGGTGAACTGTGTGCTCCTTATCCTATAAAAAAAAGCCACCCTTATCCTATAAAAAAAAGTGTAATAGTTTTGTAGTTTGAACAGTCAGGTCAAGTTTCAAAATAAAAAGTTCTAGTACTAATTATTATTTTGTTCGGAAGTCCTTTATTGGTATGTAGCTTTCAGAAACAAGAATATCAGGCCAGCTCCGGTCGCAATATCTGCATGGGATTTCTAGGAATTTGTTACAAATGATTTATTAAAAACAGTCGCTACACCCGAACTTGGCATTACATCCAAAGTTGCTATAGCCACATGAATTTTTTACTAAAATATACTTTAAATTCAAGGGACTTAGATTTAATGTCGCTATAGGTAAGTGGTCGTTACAACCAAGGTCGTAATAAATGAAATCCACTGCATTTTATTTCCAAATGAATATATGTATCATTCAAAGTAAATAATAGAATTTTAATGAAATCTTATATGTAAGCTTTTTCATTTTATTTTTTGGATCTGAATAAATATAAAATAGATTGTATTAACACAATTGGTTTTCACACTTATTTCTTATTTTATTGTTTTGTTGAATTCTATATTGTAAAAAGAGGTAGTTACTTTGTATTTTTTAAAGTATAAAGCAATTAGTTAACTTAAGCCCAAAAATCCCATTCTCCTTTCTTCATAACTTTATGAATATGAAAACAAAAAAGAGGGAATTAGGTATATTTCATTTTTCCCTTTTTAACAAAATTGCATTATTCCTGGTACCAAAACCTTTCGTTAACTGTATAAGAAAGCATAAAGTAGCCCAGCAAGCAAAGGAGGGGGTGTATATACGGTTTTGCTACATGATAAAATACATAATGAAGATATCTACGGCAGAACAAGAGTAACTGACATAGCATAATGGATTAAGAATCAGCAATGATAATGAACCATGGCTCAAAGTACTGACAACCAATAAGGAAATGTTCTTATGAAGTAACAGCCTTATACTAAAAACCAAATTGTATGATGGTGCCCTACTAAATAGAGCGACTATCTGGAATGTAATATGTGCAGAAAGTTACTGGATGCAGGTAGCTCATGATTAAGTTCAAAGAAGTAAAAATTTGGGGAAGGATATTCAGCACATGTGATGGACTGAGATAATAATGGTGAACAAAAAATAACACAATTTTTACAGTATATTTATAAGCTCACTAGTTAATTTACCTTATTACTATCAGATAGGCTGCTACAATCACTTTCAGGATCCATCACTACTTTCACAAGTCTCATCTTAGGTTTCCCTTCTTTTGGGACCCTGTTAATATTGTTTAATTTCTTATTTGTTACTAATTTTGGTACAAATTTTACCTCTGTAGGTGGTTCTATTAATGGTCATTCTATTTTATCACTATTTATAAATTTCTTAGATTCAGAATTTAACTCATTCTTCTTGGATATTTTTGTATTTTCTGTAGTTGATTCTAATGGGTTTTTAAATGTGAAACCAATTTTTGGCTTAGCTTTCCATTGACGTCAGAGGAGTTTGGTGTTGATACGTATTTTTACAGAAAGATTACACTATTATAAGCACACACACAAAGTCTCAATATACGGAAACGCGTAATTTTTGAGAAAAGAATAATTGAAAATCAATTATTCTTGCAATGTTTACGTCTAACTTGCTAATAAACTGGCGCCATTTTGTAATGTCATTGTCGACGTCAATAGGGATGTCGATTCTTTACGAAAAAGGTCGATTTTTAAATCGATTCAAATCGTAAGCTGATGTATCGGTTCACAAAAAATCGATTTATAAAATGTCTATATTTTTTTAATGTTTCTGTTTATAATGTAAATATAAACCCATTTTATGAAAAACAAGAAAGATACCATGATAAATGACCTCTTATTGAAATTTGTTTTATTTAACAGTACCTATTAGGGCAGATAACAAATAAAATAGGTTAGGTTCAACTTATGTCAAAGAACCGAATTGATTGACCCCGACTCCACCTGGTACGAGTCTGTCCTACCCCTAGAGTGGTTTTATAGAGCCGGAGGCGCGTAGGGGGAGCAGCCTCCGCCTGCTGTAACAAATCGTAGGCATCGGACGAGCCGGAGCGGCTGAGGCTGGTCGCCGAAGGCGACCAACAAGCCGAAGCTGCGGAGGAGAGGAGGGATGCCTGCGATTTGTTACGCTAAGGCGTAGAGGTTGCTCTTCCCGCAGCGCCGGAGACGTTGCAGTCTCAAAATAGATACAGAAATCCTTATGAATCAGTCCCCTTATTTTTTTATGATGAAGGGGATTTTTTTCTCATAAAATGGATTTATATTTACATTATAAATGCAAACATGAAAAAAATATCGATATTTTAGAAATCGATTTTTGGGGAATCGATACATCAGCTTACGATTTGAATCGATTTAAAAATCGACCTTTTTCGGAAAGAATCGACATCCCTATTGACGTCGACCATGACATTACAAAATGGCGCCAGTTTATTAGCAGATTAGACATAAACATTGCAAGAATAATTGATTTTCAATTATTCTTTTCTCAAAAATTACGCGTTTCCGTATATTGAGACTTTGTGTGTGTGCTTATAATAGTGTAATCTTTCTGTAAAAATACGTATCAACACCAAACTCCACTGACGTCAATGGAAAGTCGTACCCAATTTTTTTCAAGACACTAGCTAACGATGTTTTTTGACCATTATAGAGACCGCTTGCACGCAGAGAGATTACTAACTTTCTTAAAGTTGGCATTTCCTTACGTACGTAATAATTGTTTATATGATGCTTAATAGCCTCAACATTAATGTTATCAATTGCAGTCACAGTACACGATCTTCTTTTCCTTTTTGGTGTACGAAGTTTATTCTCTTCCATGCCACTGCGGCCATATGCTTCAAATGTTATTCTTGACACTGTACCACAACTTATTCCCAACGCATCAGCAACACGTGCAAGCACATGCGACAGGGGTAAAAGAGGGCCACCGTTTTGGCATTCTCGTTCAAAATAGTCCCGAAGTCGTACGACAAATAGCCTCGACTGTCCTTGTAGCACCATTCTCTTTGACATTTTGACTACTGATGAAATTATTAATTACGGTGTAAATCTTTCAATATAATACATTAACAGTATGGAAGAAAACAATTTTTTATTACTCAAGTCACAGAGTACAATAAACGTACGAAAAACTCAAGGGGTTGGGTTTGGGTTTCGCCTGAATTTGAAGTCTGTCACTGTGTATCAAGGAGGCTTATCTCAAGTGTCCCCATGCAATTTTAGCTACCGGAGTTGCATTGAAATATTAAAAAAATTCTAAATATATTCGTAAATCCTTAAGTCCACTAAATTCTTACGTTTTTTAAGTCGCGTCTGTCAAAATACTTTTTTTTTATAACTGGCTTTCCGGCTCTGGGTTCTAGCCCTTCTGAGCCTGAAGTTACAATGTATAATTAATAATTATCCTTCATAGTACACTGCTTCATAATCATTCACAATATGTTGATGCGTCATATTGTGCAGCCCTTGGGAATTTTTGACGGCAACTTGTACCAACAGACAGCTGACAGTTGGCGATGGTATCTCAAGGCACAAAGCAGACAAACACCTTATCTTGAGAATCACGTGTCAGAGCACTTGTTTCACCACAAAATCGCACTACTCCTATACATCAAAATCCACTTCAAACCATTATTTAAACAATAATACAGCAGTAATCCGCCGCCGGTCAAGTTCCCGCCAAAACCCCCATGACAAAATCAAAATGCGTAAAATCACAACCCCCCCTCCTGATATTTATGTAAATAATTAGAATTGGGTACTTCTTACAGTAAATTAAAACTGCACCTTGCTTAAATATAATTGCACCATCAAATGCAATGATAAGCTCAAAAATTTACTAAAACCAAATTTGTTAAATGTCGATTGGGTGCATTCGACACTTAACAAATTTGATTTTATCAGATGAGTGCAATATTATATTAAACATTTTTACGCAATATTGAGAATGTAAGTTAGACTTAACATGAGGTTTTATTCTAAAATTTAAAGCTTTTTATAATAAAACGAGCCTTTGAATTTACACAGGTCCTATCTGTTGTCTATTTTTAGTATGTTTGCGAGAAAATAACATAAATTCAACAAAGTCCTATCTTAAGATACCCTTGTTGTTGTGAAATACACAGTTAGGTCAGTGTTGTAATTAAAAATATGGGTGAATAAAATACGACTTATTAAGGCACTGATACTTTAATTTAATTTAAGTCTTTTGGAACAACTTGTATAACCAAGGACATCGTTAATAGTAACTATACCAAAAGGAAGTAGATGACATAGGAATTAGCGTACCTACTCTAAAATGAGTTGTATAGTATCAAAGGCAAAGTAGGTAGATAGTGAAAAATGAGTTATGGGTATGGCAACACATTAAATCCAAAAAGAAACTTACATTATCGGTCTTTCAGAAACAAAGATTACCATAACACCCTTAAAAACTTGATTGAAAATTCAATTGAGTTTCAAAGCTGGCAATCTTTCTTGTCTTAGAATCACGTAGAGAGAGAATAAACTATAGAGTCGTCATTTATTTTTGTCGTTTCAAATTTGCTGTATTTTTTTTTTTGGAGTTTATGGCCTGGTATCTAGACCTTTAGGCCAAGTCTTAAGTATTTTTATTCGGTTTATTGTAATTTTCCCACTCCTTCATAGTATACTGCTTCACAATATGTTGATGCGTCACATTGTGCAGTTCTTGGGAGATTTTGGCGGCAACTTGATCCAGCAGACAGCTGATAGTTGGCGATGGTATCTAAAGGTGCCTATGCAAACAAACAGCTTATCTTGAGAATCCATCACCATCAGAGCACTTGTTTCACTGTTTCCACTAATAGTTCACATGCGTAGACACTTAATACACAAAATCGCAACACGTTTACATATCAAAGTCCACTTCAAACCATTATTTAAACAATGATACAGGAGCAGCAAACCGCCGCCGGTCAATTTCCCGCCAAAACTCCCAAATTTGCTGTATAATCACTACAGGGATACCAGTGCTTGGCAAAAAGTTCCTTAATTTCTTAACGACGCTAAACAAATTTTTTAACCTTAATTTTAATTACTAATATAATTTATTTATTTTAGACTTCCTAAAGAAGCAAACATTATAAATTTGTGTATTGTAGCTACTTGGAGAAAGGAATGGCAACCTGAGAAGAATGACCGCATATGTTCGAAACATTTTGAGTCGCGTTATTTTCGTAAACGCACAAGAGGACATATTTGTTGCCGAATGCGATTCCAACACTTTTTATTCCAGTGAGTAACCTATTTTGATTTTGATAGATTGATGTCACTTTAATCTCTATATATATAAATCAATTGCTGTCCGTTAGTCTCGTTCAAACTCGAAAACGGCTCGAACGATTTTGATGAAATTTTTGTGTGCATTTGAGTGAGTCCCTGGATGATTTAGAAGAGAAACACAATTGGACCCGGTAGCCAGCACTATTGTCGAGATCCAGAAATCACCCGTGCGAAGCCGGGGCGGATCGCTAGTATTATAAAAAAATAGTTTGTTTTTTTACATTGAGTATTTAAAAATTGTCTCTTTATTCTCAGGTAAGAAGCAATAAATAATGTCGTCTCCGTCCTAACACCGTTTCAAGAAACAGACGTGGTACAAACATCTCATGTATAAAAGGCTCCCGGTGACAAAATGGCTGCCCGATTATAATTCTGAAAAGGCTGTTGCTGACTTCATCGCTTTTCGTTTGTTCGTAAAGATTATAAATGTTTGCAATAATAAACATGTAATCGTATGTAAGTTTAGCTGGTTCTAAACAGTTCCCTAAAGTTTCTTGTCCATTATTTTTTAGGGTTACAGACTCTGAACGGGATGAAAAAATATTTACTTAGAATCCTTTAGTTTTCAAGCATGCGTTACCAAACCGAAAACTGTAAAGTTTTACAAATATTTTCCTAGTGCTGTTTCAATTATTTGTTTTATTTAAATAATATTCACATATTTTGTATTATTTCTGTTGTTCCATTCGAATTGAACCTGTGGATATATTATTATCTACCGATAAAAAAATCGGTAGATAATAATATATCCAAAGGTAAGTTTTTATACTATTTAATTTCAAATATATTATAGACTTTTTGTGTGATTTTGCGTAATCTGTTATACATAGCAAAACATTATATAAAAAAACTGATTATAATAACAAGGAAAAGACAAAACGCAAAATAAAGCGATTTAAAATATAATAAAAAAATTCGTTTTATTTTTCAATTTAGTACATTAACCTAATAAGATATATCTTAGGAGGTTAATGAATTACTTACATATTTTTTAAACACTGTGTATTGATTTTACCTATAATTAGGAAACAGAATTTACTTTTCCCAAAAATCAAGAAAATAAAAATAAAGAATCATCGGCAACACTAACCTTAAACTAGTGCTATCCCGCTTAGGTATACGGCAAGGACTACTCTATTGTACATACTCCCTCTACGTAGAATCATAACCGGTCATCTTTTACACCCTACAGTCGCGTCGCAACATGGCGGCTAGTGCAGATTGAGTACAGTTTTGTCTCCAGTTCTTATTGTTTTTTATTGTGATTTGGTGCCTAAACATAAGTAATTTTAATCATGGAACATACTCCAACACCTGCTACTAATAACTACACTAGAAAATGAAGAAGGAACAGCGATATGTGGAAGATAAATGTGATAAAAAGACAAAGGTAATTTCGCGTTGCTTATTATGATAGGGTTGTCACTTAAACTTACTAAGTAAATAGTAACTTAAAACTTAACTTTTCTTTAGTTTTGATAATTACTAGCTTTTGCTTGTGACACGGCCCCTATAGAGTTTCATTTCATAAAATTAACTGTTTTTTCTATATCCCTTCTCACATAAGTATTCTCTAAATACTGTATGTATAATTAGAAAGTATTTGTTTTGATAATTCATTAGAAATGTTACCTACTTATTATGTATTACACTTACGTGATCGATGTTACAAAATTGTAGTATTTACTGAATATAATATTTTGAGGATAAAATATTTTGAGAAAGAAGGACAAAAACAACATTGTAAATAACAGTTTAAATTTTTGGCCTGCTGGTCGTAAGACATGTGACATTCGCACATGTTCATTTAATTTTTTTTTTGTTTAGGTATGGACCAAAGAGTATGCCGCAGAGAGTTTGCAATCACAATACACCAGTATTTAAATGTCAGACTATAACTATGGCACGAATGACAAAAATTCATCCGGACTTTGATTCCCATACGAATAAAAAAGATCAAGATGCTATACTCTTAAAATTATGTAAAATAATGTCGGCTAAGCGTACCAGAAAAAATCATCACAAATATAAAGGGAAGAAACAAACTACCATAAAATATGGTGTTATTGTTAACAAGACGAGAATACCTATCAGTAATAAATATTTTTTTAGCATATTTTTGGGATTACCAAACACAGAGTGGCATTTGTTATGAAAAAGTGTTATTACTCTGGGGAAGTTGGTACTGAGCATCGTGGAGGAGACCGCAAAACAGCAAAGTTCGTTGATCAAAAACGATCCATTCACAACTACATTGCAACATTGAAATCTATAGAATCTCACTACTGTAGAAAAACGAAAACAGCTGAACGAAAATATCTACCATCTGAATTGAATTTGTCTAAATTATTCCAAAATTCCAAATGTACAAAATAAGTGAACATGTCACATCCTCTAGTAAAGTTGTCGTATTTCCACCATGTTTTTAACACATCGTATAATATTGGTTTTGGAACACCAGACTGATGTGTGTTCTACGTGCTTGGAACTTAAGGAAAAAATTAAAATTGAAATAGACCCATTTAAGAAAAATTTATTGATGATAAAAAAAAACATGTTCATAGTTTGCGAGCGAAAGTATTTTATGAAAAATTAGGCAGTGAACCTGAAAATGTGAAAGTAATTTCATTTGACTGTCAAAAAACCTGCCCCTTCCAAAATTGCCTGACCAGTCAACATATTACAGTCGTCAACTATATTATTATAAT